CTTTGGACCGGATGGATGTTATAAAGAGTGCCTTTGTGAATTGAAACTAGTAGAACTTTTCTTAGTGAATTCACGTATTTTACAAAACTAGAACATGATTTATATGTATAAACAGTCAGCGTTATATAACAGCGTTTGTAGTATGCTACAAACGCTTATCACGGATAAGATCCAAGACAAAGGGAGTTGCTTTTATCATACAAAAACGAGTGAAGTCGAATAGAAAATCTAGTGTTTTACATACGAACATATAGAGTATCTATAAGGCATTTCTTTTAACTTAGCTCCGTTCAGTTTCAATAGCCGAGAGCTCTTCTTTTAAGTAAAAATATGCGGGAAACTTGTTTGGACGGCTTTCTTTGTAAATGTTGCTTTTTGTAAGATGTTTTCAAAGTGTCAGCTTAGGTTGAGAGCTATTTATGTGAAGACGGTTTTCATTCGCGTTCTTTCTTAGTATTTAAAATGAAAATAAGTATTATGAGTAGGTATTTGAATATTTCTAGCAAAAGACAATTTTTTTAAATGTCATTCAAGTGTGAAAGTTTGTGAGAATGTATGGATGTATGCTTGTTGTTCTTTCAAGCAAAAACAGCTAGACAGATTTGCTTGAAATTGGGTATGTTGTGAGGTAATACTCGGGATTAATACATGTGCTGCTTTTACCATCATACTACGCGGGTGAAGCCGAACGAGTGAACGGGTCAGCAATTGGTGTCACCCATGAAACCCGGAAGACCAGAGGAGTTACGAGTGAATTGAGCCTTTTGTGGGTTTGCGGGGGTTTTGGGGATTTAGGATCAAAAGGGGATAGATTAGGCCTCCGGTAACCTCACTCACATGTTGAAACCACCTAAGTTTTATTTCACGTCGGTATTTTGTGAGGCCGTCTGTTGCATATCATTCAGGTCGAGTCGGTCCATTCGTCTCAAAACATAACTCTCTATCAATTCGTTTGCCATAAAAATACAAAATGATGATAAGAATCTGTATTTTTTAGGGTTGTCCTTAATTAAAACACTTCAAGCATAATGTTCAACAGATAAATTTAGAATCAAAATTAATTGATTCTCATTAATTTGCGATACCAAAGTTTCAGTGTTTCTTGTAAGCGATTGCTCAGTTGACTGTACAGCACCGTCGTTACCGTCTCTATTCTTAAAGTAATAAGATCGATTTTCCAACACAAAGTTGGTATCTTTAAGCGAAAGTTGCAAAGTTTGTCTGTTGCTCAACTTGTGGCATTTCATTTCCCGAAGAAGTTTGGTAATCATGATTTATGTTTGTTTTCTCTCCGTGATGTGATCAAATTATTATTTTCGTGTTTCCATATGGATATTAATTAGTCTTAATGATGTGTATCGTGAGTTTCTTGGCGAAGTTTTCCCTTTATATGTATTTATTCGAAGAGTAATAGTAATGTGTTTGATGTTTTTTTTTCTGATTTATTATGACAGTATACTTTTATCATGAAATACTTGTTCGTCTTATTACACATGACTATTTAGGTATATGCATGATACCTACACGTAATCTAAAAGAAAAATAAGTAAGTTTGTATTTCGTTTCAAACACAAAATTACTTAACGCGTCTTCCATGTTTGTTTCTGATAGTTTTCATCGCATTAATACCTATTTTCCAAAAACTAAGAACCTTAAAACTGTCCAAATTAAAAACGCCCCTGGAAGGTTGAGTACTAAGTGTAATTTCAAACTCAACCCTACTTTCCCCAAGCTAAGAGCTCCTGCAACCACTCAGTAAAGAAGTAAGATTAGTAATTTATTAAAACCTTTTTTAAACAATTTTCTGCTTTAATAAAGTAATTAAGATTCCCACAAAGGAAAGGGAATTTAAGAGCCCCATGGGGCGTTTTATTCACCGTTTTGAAAGTATTGAATAGGTGCTTTAAGGTTTCTAAACCCATGAAACGCAGTATGCGGTTGAGAGGCTAAAAATAATGTGCTAATTTGTTTTTTTGTTTTAAACCTTATCAGAGTTGTTATAGTTGCCAAATTCAGCGTTTTTTTACTGGCTAATACGGATGGGGGTGGAAAAAAATCTTTTCTTTTTAAATTAATGTTTTAATATGTTTTACTAGTGATATCTTGGTGGAGTATAGAGAATGCAAGATGGAGGTTTTCATATTGGTCATCATGTTCAAAAAGAAGAACTTTACAGCTGTTTTCCGTCTCTCTGTATAACTGTAACTATCTAATGATCAAACTGAAATTCACGTAACAGCTACTTTAAATTAAATATATTACAAATAACACCTTCGAGAAAAGCTCTATAACTTCCAAGTCACAACGGAACTCTTATTTATAATCAGCTACCTCCTTGTACTATATACCGGTTTTATTTAGAACCCAAAAATCTTAGCATTTGGTCCATAATACACAATTATAATACCTAGATATGTATTACTTACCTAGCAAGGCTAGCAACTGAACAATATTTCGACTTCATGCACTATTGAACTGTTCACTGCTCAAAGAGTAACCGACTCATTGGTCTAGACTAGACTTTAGGGTCTCGAGTGGGGCTGTGGATGAGTTTGACTCCCGTGCCCTTATTCACACACATTCTTACTTTCCGATTCTTACTGACTAAAAACCAATACATTCCTTCTCATACTCCTCTCTACTGCCATCGTTTCTCAGAGGGCTCCAGTTCAAAATACTATACATTTCACATTATATTCTCCAAAAATTACTTAAGCTGTTTTTTTGAACCTTAAAATAAAACCGCGCCCGTAACTTAAAGTTAACTAAAACTATGAAATAAGTAACAAGTCACCGTCTTAACAATATTTCATACAAGATGGATCGCTTTGGAAAGAAGTGGAGAAGTCTAGCAGTTTATTCTGAACTTTTAATAAGATCTTCTGAATAGTTCTATTGCAATATCATTTCCGTTGTCAGTTGCATTTTAAATCATATTATGGTTGGAATAAAAATTTGGATTGAAATAAAAACATTTTGCACTTCACTCTTGCTTTAAGTGGTAAAGGTTATTTAGTTTCTTTTCAGTTTTAAAATAACGTAATTTTTAGTTTTGAAATAAAATAATAACGTTTATTTTTCCCTAGTTATTGGAAAAGAAATAAAACTTTAAATATAATATTTATAATTATATAACACTCTTCTATAAATATTGATTTCTGTATTAAAATTTACCTAGCAGACTTATAACCTGATGGTAAGCAATCGACGCCGCCCAAGGACACCAGACCACCAACACCAGAGGAATTGATTGTTGCTGGTCTTTTGGGGATTCAGTGATTGGGGAGAGATGAGGAAAGGGAAGAACTAGGCCTCAGGTAACCACTCTCATACGGCGAACAAACCACTATAATATAATATTTATAACATGTACAAATGCTGCTGAGAAAACTAAAGCCATCCATATTCTGTAGTGGAATGTGTGTATGCGTCGTGAATATAAAGTGAGCAATACGATGCATACAATTTTGATTAACTTTACCAGAACGAATTTATTTTATTTTATTAAAATTTAAGGGCTAGTAGCAAACTTCGGTACTATAAGCATGTTACACTGAAAATACTCTTATTAAAATGCAATTTCAATTATTGTCGAATAAATGGTGTGAATAGAATAAGGAATAAGAATGACACTGACATTCGACAGAAAAAAACTCGTAGCGTTCGAACGCCACAGATGGGCCTCAATATTACTGGTGCTAGCGCAATTGTGACCAGTACTTGGAGAAAAATTGGAGTGGATTTTAGTCAGGAAGTGTATGACACTACCGCTTGCTCCACTCATTTTGATTGATTTTTAACCGTGGAAAATCCACGGTTAAAAATCCCGGTAGGAAACTATAATTAACAAATTCCATAAACCATCCCAAATTCCATAAAACCGTTGCCAAATTTAGTAATCTTCGGAACCGCTGGTCGGATAGGTAGCTACAATGTTCCTGCGTGCTATAAGCTATAAAGCATCACGCTACGATCAAATGGAGCAGAGCAGCGGGTGAAACCGCGCGAGAGTAGCTAGTTTTAAATAAAATAATGGGAACAGTCTTTTCATGATGCCTTCTGCCCGCAAAAATAAGGAGCTGTATGGGATTGAATTTGCTCGAGCGTTTAAAAACTATTTTCTATGGTATAGGTCGGCCAACAAGCAGATATATTACCTGATGGTAAGCAAACAATCAGCGCCGTCAATGGACGCCTGCAACAGCAAAGGAGTTATGAGTGCGTTGCCGGCCTTTTAGTGTTATGGGTTTCGGATGTTTATGGATTGAGAAGGGATGGGGGTAGCTGTAGGGATTTGGCCTCTGGAAATCTACCTCACACGGCCATTTGTCAAGGTAGCTAGGCTAGCATGCATAACAGGATATTCTGTTATTGTCAATTCCTGCACTAATCGCTTCAGAGCGATTCCATTTGGATAACAAATTTGTATTTGAATGTCACGCTTCTTTGCGCAATAATTCAGAACCTAATGGCAATCAGGTTTTGATTGGATTGAAAATTATTACGAATATCGAAAATACACAGCTCATGATGAATATCAAATTTCTTTATTTTTTCAACTTTGTGTTTCTCATACAAAGTCGAAAATCCAAAGACACGTCGGCTCGACCGACCTCACAGAAAACTGGCGTTGGCGTGCAGCAGCTACAACTTTGTACTTCTTCGTGTAAGTGAGGTGATCGTAGCAACGGGGTGGCTTTTAGCCAGAAAAAATCAAAAGACTCAATCCTTTTCCTGCCCTCATCCCTTTCCAATCGCAAAATCTCCGGAATCATAATTCTAAAACGCACCCGTAGTACGCGCCCGCAACGCACTCGTAGTTCCTCTGGTGATACGGGTGGCCATGGGCGGCACCGATTGCTCAACATCAGGTAATCCGTCTGCTCGTTTGCCGACCTATACCATAAAAATGAAAGAAAACTGTAGATTGGAGTCAGTTTAAGTCAACCTGCTGACCATTACCTAATATACATATATAAAAATATGTATTTTGTCCCCAGTGTCATGTCCAGCACCCCTCAAGAACCGAGACTTCGTGCTGCAGCGGTCGTGGCTGGACACTGGCGACGAGAAGATGATCCTGAACCACTCCGTCTTCCACAAGGACTATCCGCCAAGAAAGGGATATGTGAGGTACTGGAATTTTGTTATTAGGGGGCAAAACTTCAAAAGGCACTACTATACCAAACTTATAAAGCCGAAAAGTTAGAATTATTATTGTGTTGGATAGTCTATTTATCACGCGGGATTAGCAATATATGTTTTACTGATATTATGCTGATTCGTTCACTTAATTCTTGTCAGAAAAGACTCTAAAGTAAGTTAATTTTCAACCTTAAGAAAATGTCATCTTTCATCGTATATATTCAGTGACGTGTAGCTTTTTACATACCCTTGAATTCTTATCGCGTAGGCGCAGATGGTACAAAAAGACATTTAAAAATTGCTCAGCGACATTTCACCTCTTTTGATCCTCTAAAAAACTTGCAACGACCCGTTTTATCCTGAACGAAATGTCAAAAAGAAAATTTTGTTAGCCGCCATTTTGCGTGCGATAATGCCTTTGGCGCCAATTTGGGCGTGACGTCACTAATCTAGAACCTTCTTATCTCACCCTTCAGTTAGTGTATTCATTCATAGTTAATTTTGTTACGTGTTACTGTCACTATCTGTGTGAGTTAATTACGATTTACTGATAAATTTATTGGGTAAATGATAATAAGGTTTCTTTTTGTAATGAATGATGCGACCTACTATGAAAAAGGTACCTATACCAACCTCTGCCTCTCAGCCTTGAAAATACCCAGGTTCGCTATCCTCTAACTTTCGGGGAACACAGATGTCAGCAAAGAATTCCACTTCTCAACGGTTCTAATTATAAAACCAGAGGCAAATCGCTTCGTTCGTTTTGTAATTTAAACTAGACCTTATATAACTTTAGAAAATTATTTTATTTTTTTATTCATTGGTTTTAGTTTCTAGACCTCTTACATTAGTTATAAATGGATTTATTTCTACACTTTATTCGTCATGTGATTTATAATATATCCAAGCACAATCTTATTAAACATTCGTATAAAAATGTCCTTAAAAAATCACATAAGCAAACATACATATTTTTACTTGATTTTACAATATTTTTTCTTGCGTTTTCTCTCAACTTTTTGAAGATGAAACTTATTGCTATGGTAATAACAATTATATTATCTCGTAGCAGCAAAATGTTCATAAAATCGGTAGTCTCATTCATCGCCACTTCCAGCCTTCGTCTATTGTGTTTAACAAAAGGAAATAATTTCTCAAGAACAGTTTTAGTAAGTGCTACAATTTCGCAGACCAATTAGTCTTTGCTTGGGTGTCGGCTTGAAATGTTAAAATGTGTATTTAATTAAAGGCTAGGTACGGGTCTCTTGTCTTGGCTCAATTGATTTGAGCTGAGAAATTTTACGAAAAAAGTTTAGTTATATTATTTTAATAAAAATGTCTGTATAGCTTTTGTTGGTGTTCCGATCTCAGATATATTAAATCACTAAGGTTCATAGCCTTTGAATATAAAAGAAACTGAAAATGAATGGTAAAATAAAGAAGGTTTTATGTCCAGTTTAGAGTAAATAGTATTAAGTGAGAGAAAAAAAAATGAAGATACTTACTTCCTTCATCTTCTTTGGTGGCTGGATAAGCGTAGATTGATTGGAACGTGATGGGTTCTGATGAAGCCAAAAAGAAATTAAACACATATCACTCATTTCTGGTACTTCTAATAATATGGTATAAGAGAAAAATTGTAAATGTTTTACGACTTACGTCATGAAAACTAGGACTTCAGTCATTGTAGTTTTCCCGATCATTTTCAAGACGAACAGGGTTTGGAAACTTCATAATTGATTGGATAAGTTAGCCTCCGAAACTTTCTTCAATTTTAGTTGGGCACTAAATAAATATTGGTGCGTTAAATTTATGAACTTAAGAGTTTTCTTATGGAAAAGTTTCTTAAAGTTTAGAAGCTGGACGCTTGTCACGGTGGCGGATGGAGACAAAGTCGTCTAATTTGTAATCAAGCCGAACTTTCACCAACAAGAAGTTTTTATTATATCGTGAAGACATTTTTAATGAATTTGGTGGGCGTTTTTTGGGAGGCAAATCATTCAATGGCTTCTCTCTCTAGGGTGGGAGTAGAGAGGGAGTGTCAGACTTATACTGACTAAAACTCACACCGATCATTCTCCTGCTCCAAGGCGGCGATTCAACCAATTTTGTCACTAGTTTTGGTAATTGTTTAATAACATTCTGGCTGCGTATTTGGATCAATTGTGAATTTGATACATTTGTCTACTAATACACATATAAAATTATGTGTTTAAACAAAGTTATTATTAAATGATTTCCTGCGTAGCAGACAAGGGGTTTGTGATACATCAGAATGCTAGTCCGAGCTAACGCAATCGAAACGTCACAGCTTTAGCCCTCTGATTGGTTATTTAGCTTGGAGCAAGCCAATCACAGCGTTGACCTTAATGTTATTCAAACTCTAAGTGTGGGAGAGCCATGCTTTAGCACGAATTGATTGTCTCTGCCAGAATGATACCAAGACCTCACAGTAGACTGGCGTGAAACAACACAGCGTCGTAAGGTTACTGGAGGACCAATCCTTCCTCTCCCCTATGCCTAAATCTCTAAAACCCTAATCCCTAAAAGACCAGTAACACACTCGCAACTCTTTAGATGTTGCGGGTGTATATGGGCGGCGCCGATTGCTTACCATCAGGTAATACATATGCTCGTTTGTCGTCCTATAACATAAAAAAACTCTCAAGAAGCAGCTTAGTGGTACCATGGCGGCTTGGAAAAGTTGTTAATACTTCAGTATTTAAAAAAATAATAACGTATTACTATGCACAATAAATTGCAAACTTGCAATCGTGAAGCACAACATTACTCATTGGAATTGACGTGTGCGATAACCTATCTTATCTCTATAAGCGGTGAGTACAAATTGTGTAAATAAAGTAATGAAACAGAACCACTCCACGCCTACACGGCCCCTGAAATGTTCGTTAAAGGTAATTTGTTGGTCCTTCATTAAGTAAAGGTCGCTCGGATGTTTGATCAGGTTTCTCCAGGATAAATTAGGTGTTAGTTTGTTTTCTGTCTAGATTTACCGGCTTTGTATAAACTTGCTTTCTTTGTACAATAACGTTACAGTTTCTAAGACATTTTTATTAAATTATCATGATAGGTATGTCTAGGTTCGAAAAACATCAAGTGACTTCTACCAAATTGGGTGCAGTGATAGGAAGTGTATATAAAAGTGTGTAAAAGTCTTACTGATAAAAAATTACCTTGTTCCTTCTCCTTTTCTGACCCAGGCTGCAGCAAATCGTTGCATTTGCATCGGCAAATATTTTATTATATTGTTTGATGCTATAAAAGGCATGTCTGAACATATATACAAGGTTTCTGTGCCGAATTTAAAGCAACAAGCTTAAATTCGGCACAGAGACTGTAATAACACATGCGCTTAAGACAACCTACAAGTACGACTGGCCTCCGGAAAACGGTTAACAGCATCCAATAAATATTCAAAACAAACAAACCTAACTAGGAGACCAACTAGCACTCCCAAAACACTGACTAAGCATAGTTTATTTTATTAATGGTAACTGTAAACTTCCATATGGAACTCACGATCGATTTCGATAATGGTAGTCAGGCTGTTTTATTAGAGAAGCCAACTATACAGGAGATAGTATAAGTTAAAATGGCTCGTCACCCGCACAGGGTCAACAAGGCCGATGTTCAACCAGGATCACAAAGCCAGCGCAATAAGGTACCGCGGCGTCGCGTCGGCCTGAAGTAGGAAAAGGAACGGGCGGTTTTTAGTCAGTAAGAGTCTGACTCTGCCTCTCATCTTAACATTGGCTGGAGAAGTTATTTCATGACTAAAAAGGCACTGTGTTTATCATAATACCACGGGACACACCCTTTGGGGAGAAAAATCCCCAGAATATAAGCCACGCATTTGTTTTGAGAGCCCATTAGCAAACTTAGGTAAGAAAACTTCACAAGAAAACTTGTTACTAAGTGAAATAATTCACATTTTACTGTCGTTTGTAGGGAAACAGGTACGTGAAAATATAATATGATATCATCTTCTCTGTGGTACACCTTCGTGGAATACTTTAGCTGGCAACAATAATTTCCTTTTTCAATACAGTCTAGGATATAATCCGCTTAAATTTAATGATTTTTCGATCCCAGATTGCGAATGGAATGAAAATTGCTTATTACCAACGTCGCTCTTTGAATTTGAATATATTATGTGTAATGTATGTTTATGTATGAAGATTATTAAGTAGAAGAGGTATTATTTTTTGTGGTGATTAGGTTTGGTGTTGGAGGTTTTGATATGATATTTAGATTGCAGATTGTTTTGGATAAACGGAGAAGTTCTTAACGACAGGCTTAGTTATCAACACGATTTCAATGCTCAGTATTTGGAAGGCAAACTAGGGCATCAATGTCTAGTTTTTATTTTCAATTTATTATCTATATCTCTTTTGATTTAATTGAAGTGCTATGACTCGACTGCACGGTGCCTGGACAACTGGCTACCGTGCAGCGTGACGCGGGGTAATTTCCCGCACGGAACAACGCTTTGTGCGATGACAAAAAATTCTAATGTCCCGATATCATCACCAAAAAATTTTTTTCTTTCCTTTTGCATAAAATTGATTTGCTTTCCGTCTACATTCGCAAGTGAAAAAAGCAAATTTCCTTCAGTACCAAAAAGAAAAGTTCTTATATTTAAATATTTAGTTGAATTTGTGTATTTACTGTTTCAGCCGTTTAGTAAAAATCTAGTAGGAAAATGTATCCCAACGCGTAGCATTCTTTTCTTTTACAAAGTGTTAAAGTCCCTCGCCACATCGTTAAACTGTACCCTCGCAGTCCGTTTGTTTAGGCCTTTACACAATCTTAGCTCTAGACCGGTTACTTAACTGAAACTTTTTTCAGGATTTTGCAAGACTTTTGGTATATTGTTTTATTTGATTCTGAAAGATAGCACGAGATGAATTAAAAATACGTTGTCTGTCAGAAAACATGTATATGTGCTATAAGTACCATAAAATCAT